AGTTCAAAGAAGTGTAGTTTTCACTTGCTCAAAGCCATTTTCAATCCTTGATCTGAGAAAGCAGTTGTATTAAGTTTAAACATTTATGAACAAGTTAGGTGACTTGCATGGCAACTATATGAAAGTTTTGATCTGACAAGGCAATTTCAGAACATGACCCAAATTTTCAGGTTAATGTTTTGGTTTTGTAGTAATTTTCAGTGTTCAATACACATATGAACGGTAGATTTACAAAAGGTGCCAGATATATTCAACTGAGAAAAATTGTCTACCATGACACAGTGAACCAACTTTCCTAGCAACAGATTTAGCAATTCTTTTGATATAATCCAATTAGGACAAATCAGTTTAGTTTCAGTCAAGCATTATTGAATAATGATATAAATTTTGTCTATTATAAACCATATAAGAATTTACTTTCTTGAAGTCAATGAACTAATACAAAAATTAAGGAATCCCCAGAGCTTCCAAATATATAAATATTCTTTTTATGAAAAAGTTAAAATAAACTTTTATACATACAAAGACAATGATTGTAAATACTCAGGTGTCATTGTATCTCATTATACAAGTAATGTACAAAGTCATATTGCAGGTGATTTACATTTTAGAGGACTTGTGTGACCCTGTGATACCAAGAATGAAGCTGTCTAGAGTTCCAACTCCAGCAAGACCATCTATGGTGCTAAGGCCAAGGAGGGACCAGAGCAAACCCTGATGGAAGAATAGGCAAAGATCCATATGATCTCAATGGCTAAACTGGTGGAAGAGGCATAACCAAAGTGGAGCTTGACTGATCAAACATCTGAGAGACCAATACAACCAGGCTTACGAGATCTTGCCCATCCGAATTCCCTTTGAATCATGAGTTAATAAGGTCAAAGAGAGACAAGATTGAATGCCACCAAACATCAAAGACCTCAATGGCAGAATAGGGAAAGATCTACATGATCTCAATGGCCAAACTTTTGGAAGAGGGCAGTGCCAGTCGAGCTGGCATAACCATAGTGGAGCTTAACTGACGAAGCATCCAACAGCCCAACACATCCAGATTTGTTAGAATTCACCTGATCCCTTTGAGTTATGAGGGAGGGGTTTCTGGCCAAGTGTGTGAGATTCTCCATCATGCAGAGTTGTTCACCAAAATCAAATTCATGTGGATGGCCTCATCAAACCATTTACAACCATCTCTGCCACCACTACCAGGGGATTCACAACCATCTCTACCACCACCACTGCCATGGCAGTGAAAAGAAATAGGGAGAGAGAGTGACAACCCCAATGCTTGGATATGACTAGGTGCTGATGATATATGATATAGCCATTGATAAAATTATGGGATTAACAATCAATCTATAATCATGACTGTGGTCAACTTATGATTGTCTGAAATAAATACAGAGTATGGCTTCCTCACAGGTATATTGCAACTTTTGTATGCTTAGATAGATTTTATGACATGTCAACTTTTGTTGGATTATTTAATAATAATAATAATAAAACATTAAAATATTAAGCAAGGTTATGAAGAAGATTGACAGAAAGAATACAGATTATGAAACACATCCCATATTTTAAAATATCATGATGAATAGTTGTTCTCTCAGTATAACATGTATTGGACACAAGATATCCCCAGACCACAAATGGAACTCATATATACAAACCATAGCTAAAGATGCTGGAAAAATAGTTGGTTCTGTGAACCACTCCAGTAAGTACCCGACTCCTACCATGCTCACTTTACAAGAGCCAAATCAGATCAAAAATGGAGTACTGCTACCATGATGACCAAATTTCATTTTCCAGGCTTGATAGATTTCAAAAGCATTTGCATAGGCTTGTGGGTGATTAGTTTTTTCTTAGCCCACAAGTTCTTTCTCAGACGTAGAATTCTGCTAGCTTATCACTACTGCTACCCCTGTGGGCAAACTTCCCCAACGCTACTGCTACCCCTGTGGGCAAACTTCCCAACATTACTCAATTGTAATCGCCACTATCTCCACTGAAATGAGTCATCTCCCATTCCCTTTGTATTCTGTTAGTAAGATGGAAGTCCCATTCAGAGTGTTTCTTCCCAAGAGTCTCCGTTTCTTGGAACAGATTTCCACATAGATGTTTTCCAAATCGCTACAATCTTAACCACTTCAAGTCCGAGGTTAACCATTCTTCTTGCATATCCTCATGTACTGCACTCCCCCCAGTCTCCTTTTACAGACAACTTCAATCAGTAATCTTCTTACTTGAGTGGTACATGAATCTTATATTAGGTGAACAATCAGTGATAAAACAAAAATTTACTATTTGGAAAAACTTATTGAAGTAAGAAGAAAAAAACGTGGAGCATAAGTTAATGCTCACTTAAGATCAATTCACACAATACAATTACAATTGATTTAGGAGTAAGGATGCAAATAAAAAGAAATAAAAAAAAAATGTAAGGAGTAATATCATGTGCACTTACTTCACATTTTGTGATAAAAAAAAGTTGCAATATAGTGTAGTTTAGTGAGTAACATTTACAATATACAACTCAAGATAAAATAATTCCAAGAATGAATTAAAAGGGGGACACATACCAAGGCATATTCATAATAGCTAAATGCCTCATCATCATAAGCCAGCTAGTTTAAGGGGGAAAAAAAAGAAAAAAAAAAAAGAAGGTATTTTTATGCATCACATAATTTTAGAACTCAAATGAAAATATAACAATAACAGTCATATATATATATATATATATATATATATATATATATATATATATATATAAAAGATCTTTTTTTTTTAAACTGTTGGTAAACAGATTTAAGTAAAAATAAATTTTATAAATACAGTCTTTATTATTATTCTTATGTATACAATAGTATTTTTATCACTTCAAACTTTATTATAGTGGATATTTGTATTTGAAATAGATGCCAGATTTTAATTTAAAACTCTGTGTTTTATAGCTGCTATCTATGAGTCAGTATAAGCACATCTAATGATGGGTTCTCCTGCCAAGAGTGATGTAGGTTTAAATCCTGCCAGAGAGTGCATATTTTTCTTTAATAAGATCTCTCAAATATTCAGACTAGTAGACAAACATAAATATACTGTTTAATAAATAAACAGAGTGTTTACTCAAATATGTGAAACACTAAAAATAATGTTTAATAAAATCTATTTAGTATGTGTATATTTCTGAGATGAGGTATTATGTACACTATCGGACTATCATCCTCATCTTTGTTGCCATATTTATGACAATATTTAGGCTGTTGTATGCTCTGACCTTTTTCAGGTGGTTGGAATGTTGAACTGAATTTCGCACGCTGGGGTAGACTGTTCTAGTTCCACATGCCATGTCTAATGGATGTCAGTTATCAGTTATCTCCTGTTAATTCCCCTCTCCAAGTTAAGGCAGTGGAAAACTTGGAGAGGAGAATTAACAGGAGAAACTGATAACTGACATCCATTAGACATGGCAGGTGGAACTAGAACAGTCTACCCAGCGTGTGAAATAAAGGGTTCAGTTCGACATTCCAACCACCTGAAGAAGGCTGGAGCTTACAACAGCTGAAACATTGCTATAAATATGGCAACAAAGATGAGGATGATAGTTTGAACAATGTAAATAGTGAAAATCTATTTACATAAAGAAAATAAAAATAGGGCATCTATTTCAAATACGAGAATCTACTATAATGTTTGAAGTAATAAAAAGGTCTGATTAAAAATAAATCCATTAATACTATATAAACATTTTGAGAAATAAAAAAAAAAAAAAAATAACTGAAAGCAAAAAAAAAAAAAATCTTCAAGGCTAATGTAACCAATGACAAATACCAATTTCAAAAACCAAAATTAAATTTTCAATAGAAAAATTATTATTTGATATTTGTTTACAGCAACATAAAATGCTATAAAAAGTATTTTCTGATAAAGATTAATATATTGTATATTGACGTCAATATCTGAAAAGAATACTTTCTGATTAGATTTAATATGGTAAATCAGTTCTTTTCAACTGAGGTATAAACATCTATATTAATTTTACTGAATATTTAATAATATTAATTATTTACACTATTTACATGGAGACTATTGTCCTCATCTTTGTTGTCATCATGTGTCATCCATTGTGACCTCCAGTCTTCATCAGGTGTAGGTCAATTGGTTGATTTTGTTTAGCAGTATATCAACCACTATGAGTTAATGCTCAAATCTAAATAATTTGAACAATTGCATGGCTTGGAAGTGAGCACCGAGGTAAAGTATTGGTCAACAGCACATCCAACATCAGGGCACAGATCTTCATGAACGTAGAACAACTGGAAGAAGAGAACGCCTTTAAATACCTTGGGTGTTACCCTCACCAAAGATGGATGCTCTACAATGGACATTTATCACTAGGAGTTATTTAATGCCCAAGCCTAAATAATTTAAACAATTGAAGATTTGGAAGTGAGCACTGAGTAAAGTCCTGGTCTACAGCACATCTAACATCAGGGCCCTGATCTTCATGAATGTAGAACAACTGGAAGAAGTGAATGCCTTTAAATACTTTCATGTTACCCTCACCAAAGATGGATGCTCTACAATAGAGATCAAGACCTGACTGGCTATGGCAATATCAGCAATGGCAAAACTTAGTAAGATTTGGAAAAGCAAAAACATCAGCTTCCTGACCAAGATGAAGCTCTACAAGTCCCTGGTGCTGTATATGTTGCTCTATGGATGTAAAAGCTGGACTCTGATAGAATAAAACACCAAGAGAATTCAAACATTTGAAACAAAATTCTTCAAACATCTTGGGATCTCCTGGAGAGAACACAAGACAAATGACTCTGTACAGGACCAAGTAACACAACTGGCATGCACGCAGGAGCCCCTCTTGGCAACAGTAAAGAGGAGAAAGCTGTGGTGGCTTGACATGCCATATGCCACAAAACTCTACCCAAGACGGTCCTTCAAGGTACCTTGGAAGTGGATAGACATAGGGGGAGGCAGTCCAAAAGCTAGATAGACAAGAGCAAAGAATGGACCAGGATGGACACTGACGTTATTTTGTAAAAAAAATCTGGTTGACAGCAACTGGCTGCATCATTGCCACTCATGTCTCCTCTACAATTGGCTTAGTCATGAGATGAGAAATAGAGAATGGCTTCAACTAAATATATTTTGAACACAATTGCCTGGCTTCAACTACAGATAAAATATATTGTTGGTATTTTTACTAGTAATATGTATTTTTATACTTTCATAGTTTTTTTTGTTGAGGGGTTCATTATTTTCCCATAGCTGGAACCCTAACAGGTGCTACCACCCTTCAGGTGTAGGAGAAAGGCACAACTGCCAAAATGCTGTGTTAACAACAACAACAAAGACAATAGTCCACCAGTAAATAGTGTAAATAATGATAACTCCTCATCCTAGAAATTCAGACAAACTACAGTTAAATTAAAAACTGTGGAATTTTAACCTTTGGCTCAAATATAAATATCAGACTCAAAATATGTATATTATTTTCAACTATATAAGCAGAGAATCAATTAAGTTTAAATGATAGAATTAATGCTAAGTCCAACTGTAGTAAGTAGGTGCATCAAAAATCATACTTATTATAAAACCCAGGTTGTGTGTGTGTGTGTGTGTGTGTACATTTATATATTGGATCGGATTTCCTACATTTTTCAACTGATTTCAACAAAACTTCACAGGACTACATAAAATTACCTTGCGGTGGTTCTGACAATGCCAAAAATTGGAAAAACAGTTGTTCTTGCACGAAATCAATTTGAAAACACGATTAAGAGGCATCACTGTCGTGAGAATGAAAAGAGGACAACTCATATCGAGTTATACCTATTATAAAAACCCAGGCTGTGTGTGTGTGTTCATTTATATAAGGGATCAGATTTCCTACATTTTTCAACCAATTTCAACAAAACTTCACTTTTTTGGGGGCAGGTAGTGTTTCTTATTGTCTTGCACACTTTTTTCTTTATTTTTACATTCAGAATGCTTTAAAAATTCCATTTACAAGACAATTGTTTATAATAAAATTCTATTCAATCGGTAGACTCATAATGGTTGAAAACAATGATTTTGTTTGAGTTTGGGTTTGACCAATTCGTAAAAAATGAAAAAAAAAAAAAAATAAAATGTCCATCAACCTTAAACAATAATCTTTGTCAATTTTATTTTTCAGTCTTTATGATGGTCAATACTTGATCTATCTCTTACTGTTACATCCCCAGGCAATGTTTTTACAAGATTTTTATATTCCAAGTTTCTTCAAAGGTTTTCAAATGAAAATTTCTGAAAAATTAGTTCAAATATCTATAAAATAAAATGGCTTTCAACAAAGTTTGATTAATTTGTTGCCTACATAAAAAAAAAATCCACAATACATGTTTATAAATATTTTTTTTAAATATGCAAAATATTTGTTTTAAACAATTTTATTTCTATTATTTATAAATCCATCAAATGATGCAAATAAACAGAATTAAATTTTTATGAAAAATTACTTTCGAAGCATAATTTAGCAACATAATAACACATAAAAGGATATACAAGTGTGTGCTAAAAATTGATGAGCGAGTGGTGCTAGAGCTGTGAAATCTTGCATGCATTAATTTCATCTTCATTAATAACTGCATTGTTTATTTCTAGGTCAACTGATATCTGACTGTTCAAAGAAAACTTCAAATGTAACTAGTAGCAACTTCTTTTGAAAATGGATAAAACTTGGTATTGTGGTGTTATCAAGTACCTGCAGAAAAAGGGTTTAGCCCCCAAGGACATTCATGCTAACATGGTTGTTACATTAGATGATGCTCCAGCATTATCAACAGTGCAAAAGCCAATGCTGGTAGGATATCTCATGCACAATGAACTTGTATGACAAAGGTTTCTGCTTGGAAAATGCCATGTCTTCTGATGCCTGATCAGAAATGCACCAGCCTGATCATGCCACAGGAAAATCTGATACTGTTTGAGGCATATCCAGTTGGTTTCCTTGAACATTTCCTAACCCAGGACAAGTGTTGAGTTCATCACTTTCAATCAAAGAACAAAGGCACAATCCATGCAGTGGAAACTACTACTTAGCTGCTCCAAAGAAGGCCAAGGTTGTTTCATCTGCAGAGAAGGTAATGGCCTCTGTATTTTGGGATGCAAAAGAAATTGTGTATATTGACTCTTCAGAAGGGCCACACCATCAATGGAGAGTATTATGTCAATGTGCTGAGGCAGTTAGGAAAGGCAATCAAGACCAAATGCCCAAGAAAATGGATGAAATAGGTATTGTTTCATTGTGTGCTCCAGCACACAAGTTCTTGGTTTCAATAGTTGCTGTGTATGGCTGGCATTGAACTAGTTGATCACCCACCCTATTCTCAGGATTTGACTATCATCTGTTCCCCAACATGGCTGGGAACCAGTATGGCAGTAATGATGGCTTTATATCTGCTGTTGCTGACTTTTTGAACAGCAAGATATCAGTATAACTGGAAAGAAATAGTGAAGAAGAATTGAAATGAATACATGCAAGATTTCATAGTTCTAGCATCACTCCTTCATAGTCAGCCTATGAATTTTTCAGCACACCCTCATAAAAGGATTTTATAACATATGAGGAAAAGAAATTAGATAAAACTAATGAAATGGTCTGTAGTTAATGTTTGTAGGAAAACAAATATTACATAATACTTTATATTAAAGAAAGGTTTTATTTACAAATATGATTTTGTTTAAGTATCTTCCTTTTTGTTAAGAATAAAAACTTATGAAAATGAAAGCAGATAATCTTTCAAGTTAAGGAATCTTTTTTATGATAACAACAACAAATAAACCAAATATATAGAGAAAATGACAGTAAACCTAAAGATGAACAATGAAATCTGATTAATAAATTCAAGTGTGATGTAATTAAAGTACATAATGAAATGAATGCAGGAATTAAAAAGAAGCTTTTAATAACAATGTTATGAGAGTAACATCATATGAGAAAATGGACAGAATTTTAGAGATCAAAAGGCTGTTGACATAAGTTCCAATTAAGACAGATGAAAGATTGTACGAAGTGTAATGATGTGCAAAAAGTTGAAATCATGAGAAACAATACATAAAGAGTTAAAATAAGATGCTTTTAGATAAAGACATCTCACTTGCAATGATATAAGAACATCTGAAATGAATTTAGCTTTTGCTGAAAATAAAAAGAAATTTTAAAAGTAAAATTTTAAAAATTACCTCCAATTCTGCTATTTTCAAAAGTTCCTCTGAAGGCCAAATGGCTATTTTACCAGAAGGATTGAGATCATCTTCAATATCTGGGGAACCTTTATCCATCTGTTCTATGTGGTACAGCAGTGGAGGTGCAATTGTTAAGAAATAATTTTTCAAAATATTATGTGAATGTTTTATTGATTATAGATCTACATGAAAACTAACTACTTATATGAGGCATTTGGCAAAGGAATGTTTGTGTGTGTGTGTGTGTGTGTGTGTGTGTGTGTGTGTGTGTGTGTGTGTGTGTGTATATATATATATATATATATATATATATATATATATATATAGATATTAGCGACTGCATATGCATATGCTGGCATTCATACGCTGGTAAGCAAATAAATAATTACCAAATTTAGCCAAGAGTGTGTAAACATAATAGTGCTCAATGTGATTAGACAGAGCTAAGAAATATATATTAATAAATACACATATACCTATGTTTGGTGTGCGACTAGAGTTTCCAGCATTCAAATTTTAAGCATACTTCAATTTCCCTTTTTTTTTTCTATTGTTGACTCATATCTACATATTCATTTCCTGCACTTAAACCCCAGTATTGCTTTAGTACTATTTTTGTGCTATTTTAATTTTGAACTATGAATCAGCATCTATTTCATGAGCATCTGTATATTTTTTTTTAAATAAACAATAACCTATCTCTTGTGCCTGATGAGTTCAGTAATCAACAAAACTAGAATCACACACCAAATGTAGGTATATGTGTGAGTATATATATATATATATATATATATATATATATATATATAAATATAAAGTCCAAAATCACCCCCATATGGGGAATAGGCTTATTTCAACGAATGAAAAAATAAAATTGTCAGTCTTATTTAACCCCAGTATTATTATTATTTTTTTTTGTCAGTTGAAATAATCTTATCCCCCATATGAGGTGATTTTGGATTGTATTGTTTATTATTTTCTGCTCTGTAATGATAAATACATTGAGCTCTTTTTGTGGATCAGTCTTAATATTTTATTACCAGGATCCACTTGGATTATATACCAACAGATTTATTACCTTTATATATATATATATATATATATATATATATATATATATATATATATATAGTAAGCTATTGGTATATAATCTAAGTGAGTCCTATTAACACAATATAAAATATTAAAACTTATTCACACACAGAGCTCATTTTTTTTTTATAATAAACAAAGCAATATATTTCATACAATCAGAATTAAGATGCCATTATGTAAATGATTACTTTCATCTTGTAAAATTAAACTGTTTGAAAAAACCCTGTAAATTTAATTTTACAAGGTGAAAATGATCATTTACATAATGGCATCTTAATTCTGATTGCATGATATTATATACATATATATAATATATATATATATATATATATATATAATAAACAAAGAAAACAAAATTATGGCTAGCTAGATATCAAATCATTACACATTAATATACCCATTACAAAATGCCTCAATATATTAAGAAACTACCTTAAAAAAATACCCCCCAAAACTTCCTGTATCTGTCCATAAAATTATAGTATACAATCAAGCAAACTAATTATATATATTAGATTCACTTTTGCATAAAATACCCTTGAGAATGGTATGAATCAATATCTTCCTCCCTGAAGGTATGGGTTAAATAGCAGAGCATACTAGGTTCTTTAACTATGACTGACAACCATTCTCAGAGAAAGAAAATTGAAGTTCAAAAATGAAGTGGACTATTTGGAAAACTTTGTAGTACACTTTGCACCATTTCTCAGTGCTTTTAAAAAAAAAAAAAAAAGTGTCTGGTTCTTCCCTTAACGTGATAATCAAATCATCTGTGCGAATAGTCTGACAGTTCAGTTCTGAAAAACTGAACTGTTAGGCCCTCATACATAGAAATCAGCAAATGAGTCCACTGAATATATATATATATATATATATATATATATATATATATATATTAAACAGAAATTATTAAAAGTATTAGTTGCATAACTAAAAATTAGCAGTTAAGTTATAGAAAGACTTTGCTACTTAAAACAAGTTATTTAAATCTTGTTCTTTTATACTATGATATTATTTATCCATTTACATGAAAAGAAAAGCAATACCTAAGGTTTAAAATACACATTTTAAAAATGAAAAGATTTTTCTTGAAGCTTTTATTTTAATTTCAAGTTAAATCGATTAAATTTAATATTTCCAATAAGCAAAACACTTTATTGTATTTCAAACCAAATTTAAATTGAATGTTATGATTAAAAAAACAAAACAAAAAATAAAACATTAAAATTGCTAAAAATCAGCCATATTAGTGAATCAGTCAACACATGATTCACTTTATTAAAAACTCTTTCAAAAATAAAATACTTTCTTGAAACTGAAGAATATTAGTTGATTTAAAGTTTAATTAATCTGATTTAAAATAAATATTACTTTTAGCTTAAAATATCACAGAAAAACATTTTACACAAAGATGGATGTTTTTTATGAAGTGTTGACAACTAACTTGATAGACTTATGTTTTGAATTTTTTCTATGATGAACATATCTATAAAAATTATTTAATGAATATAAGTTTTTCATATAATTTTTTTTTTAACTATTCAACCATCAAGGTAATGACCAGGCTCAACTTTGCTCTACTTTGTTTATCATAAGGGAACCAATATTTCAATATGATGTGGCCATAAGCCTAAATCAATATTTATTCATTTATATGGTATACATGAGGAAACATTTCTAGAGAAAATAAAATATAAAATCATTATAATTCTACTTGTTCCTTAGTTAGCATTATACTCTGCCATTACCTCAGATAAATAATGGATTGTTCCGTTTTGATTGCAAGGATATAAAAGAAAAAGACATATCAGAGAAGCTGTTTGGTTTTAGTGAAGAAAAGAGAAAAATGTAACAGGGGAGGTAATAACACACTCATGCATTTAATGTCTGCTTTAGTGAAATAGAAAACCTTGTTAGTTTTTAATCTTTTTATTTGTACCCTCTTACTTCTTTAAATAATGACCTGCATTCATACTTATGAGTATTATTGCAATATTTTCTTAAAGTTGTTAAGCTCAAATATTTAACAAGGCAATGGAGGAATTTCCACAGGTATTTTATTTGTCGGACTCTCAAAGAGCTTAGTCATTAAATTAATAAATAGTATCTATCAGAAAATTCAAATAGAAAATTGAAATTTTCAAGGGCATTATTAGTTAGATTGTAATAATCTAGTTAGAAATTTTGAATTCAGAAAAACTAGAAAAAATTTTATCCTGATGTATGAGACTCATATTCACACTCCTGTAAATCATTGATCCATTTTTTAAAAAATCAGCTTATAACAAGATTTACACAAATTTTGGCTTTGAATTCTGATAATCTAAAAATACAAATAAAAGATTAAATTCATACAAGTAAATGATAAAATTAATGCATTAAGCTTTCTGCTACTTTATGATATGAACAATCAAGTAACATGTAAAAATACTTTTAAAGATATCAACAAAAAGGTTTCTTGCTAAAGACTTTTCATGCCTTCCAGCATTTGTGTCAGTATATTCTCAAAGGATATCATAACCAAGACGTATGGAATCATGTTCTTCAAGTGTCACATATTCTTGTTCAGGAATACGCTGATCATTGATGAATGTCTGGAAAAAAAAAAAAAAAAAAAAAAAAAAAAAGAAAGATAATCTTTAAAGAAAAAAAAATCCAAATGAAGTATAAACAAAAATTTTGGTAGGTTATAATTTTTTATAACAAATTTGATTCTTAAATAACATTCTTTAAACAAAAATATAAAAAACAAAAATAAAAAAACAAAATATAAAAAAACAAAAATATAAAAAAACAAAAATATAAAAAAACAAAAATATAAAAACAAAATATAAAAAACAAAAATATAAAAAAACAAAAATATAAAAAACAAAAATATAAAAAACAAAAATATAAAAAACAAAATATAAAAAACAAAAAATATAAAAAAAAAAAAAAAAAACAAAAATAAAAAAACAAAAATATAAAAACAAAAATATAAAAACAAAAATAAAAAAACAAAAATATAAAAAACAAAAATATAAAAAACAAAAAATAAAAAAAACAAAAATATAAAAACAAAATATAAAAAAAAAAATATAAAAAAACAAAAAATAAAAAAACAAAAAATATAAAAAAACAAAAATATAAAAAACAAAAATATAAAAAAAAAAATATAAAAAACAAAAAATATAAAAAACAAAAATATAAAAACAAAAATATAAAAAAACAAAAAAAAAAAAAAAAAATATAAAAAACAAAAAAACAAAAAACAAAAAAATAAAAAACAAAAAACAAAAATATAAAAAACAAAAAAAAACTTTAAATTCAAATTAAGTATAAACAAAAATTTTGTTAAGTTATTTTTTTTTTTTTTTTTCTTACTGTCTTTCTGGTTCTTTTAAAATTTTATTTCAACCAGCCAAGCAGTCTTATAGCACTAATATATTTGTAATAATGATTCACATTTTTTTTTTTAAATCATTTCGCCACAAACAAGGCAATAAAGCCACTAATATGCAAAGGATTACTGGGTGTAAGAGAATATAAGAAAAAGAAACACATTAAGGAGAGAGAACAGAAAAAGGATAAGAATTACCAAACACAAAAATGTTCACAGCTGAATGTAGAGAGAGAGCCATTTCTAGTGTCAGAAATTTTGTTTAATATATTACAGCCCTGAGAAGAAGGAGAGTGATAAAGGAAAAAAAAAGGTAGCTAACAGAGTGCAATAATGAAAATCAAAAATACATGAAAGACTCATCTGATAACTCAAGAGATAATTTCCTTGTAATTGGGAGATTTTCCCAAATATAAAGACCAAGGCCATGCATATGTATTCTAGAATTTTTTTTCAACAAAGAGGAAGGTAGCCTGAAACAGAATTCATTGGTAGTGATAGAAGAATTTAAATTAGTTTCACAAAATGCAAAGATATTTGGAGAACATTTCAAGCGAAAAAGTTCTACAAGACAAAAATTGGAACAAATGCCATGAATATATAGGAGAACGAAAGGTTGAGGGTAGAGGGTATGTGATTTTTTTTGTTTACTGGTTTAAAGATATTTCTTTTCATTCTATTATAAGATTTTCTTTTAAGAAGAAAAAGGTCAAAATAATTATTCCTATCATCTATGGCAATGCAAACTGACCAACAGTTGGCTAAGACTAAAGTATAATGTCACCTTAGGATCGCCCACCAGAAATACATGCAGGAACACCTATCCAGGTCTAACATGGCACTAAAAATACCCCAATATTATATAACTGTTGACCAGAGCAACCTGTCTAAGTACTATCAATGAGTTTGGGATCCTTACTACCAATCAGAAGCAACAACCAGAAAATTGCCAACCTGGTACCCTTATAATGAAAAGTTGCAGCCATTGATCAGTCAGATCAAAAAGTTTAGGTTTAGACAGTTAAACTCATTATGTCATGGAAGAAAGAACCAGTAAACCATATTCTAAACAAGAAGTAAGGGATAAAGCTCTGTTCCTGTGCAATAAACACAGAAGGAATATTTGATTAAGAATTATTATAGTTTAAGACAAAAGATACAATTGACATTGAATTTAAGTCTTTGAAGATTAAAGTTAACTGGAAAGTAAAAAGACAGAAGTGCAAGAGAAGAAACTTTATATAGGAATATTAATAAGGATGGTTGCACTAGCACAAAGTTAACTCATCCAGACTGTGGGTTTGAGCATACTGGATATGTTCAAACAGTTGATCACAACAGATTTTGTGCTCTCAGAAACTGTAACTAAGATCCTCTCAACAGAGTTGCAATGTAAACCACAGTTGGGAACTGTGGGTGTTGAAGAAAGACAAATGTGAAGAAAGACAAATGTGAAGAAAGACAAATGTGAAGAAAGACAAATGTGAAGAAAGACAAATGTGAAGAAAGACAAATGTGAAGAAAGACAAATGTGAAGAAAGACAAATGTGAAGAAAGACAAATGTGAAGAAAGACAAATGAAGAAATGTGAAGAAAGACAAATGTGAAGAAAGACAAATGTGAAGAAAGACAAATGTGAAGAAAGACAAATGTGAAGAAAACAAATGTGAATGTGAAGAAAGACAAATGTGAAGAAAGACAAATGTGAAGAAAGACAAATGTGAAGAAAGACAAATGTGAAGAAAGACAAATGTGAAGAAAGACAAATGTGAAGAAAGACAAATGTGAAGAAAGACAAATGTGAAGAAAGACAAATGTGAAGAAAGACAAATGTGAAGAAAGACAAATGTGAAGAAAGACAAATGTGAAGAAAGACAAATGTGAAGAAAGACAAATGTGAAGAAAGACAAATGTGAAGAAAGACAAATGTGTTTGAATAGGCATTTGCAACAAAGATTCGCTAACAGCCCAAGCAGATAATGGTGCTTGGAATAATGATTAGCAAGCTATGAATAAGCATGTAGCCTAATCTCCCTCCTTGCCAATGCACTTAATTCATAAACACAGATCAAATCAAAATGCAGGTAATGTCAGGCAACAAGACTTATTGATCATGTTCAATTTATATTGAATATTGTATTTTGTAATCAAGTCTGCATTTAAAGATTCTCAATAAAATCTGACGTAGAATCTACAATGGTATCAGGCCTGATCAGGCATCTTGGATTTAGTCACTTTCTCACCACCATAATGTAGCTTCACTGTGCCTTTTCTATAAATACATTCATGGCAATTGTTCTGAGGAGCTTTCCTATTGGGTATGGTAACTTCACAAATTTAAGCACAGTACTAGATTGGCAGACAGGTCTCATTTTACAGTTGAAATTACTAGATGTAACTGTCAGTTCTATGTTAATAGTTTCTTCTCTCACACTTGCTTGTGAAACTCTTCTGGCTTTTTGCTTTCCTGTCAACTATCAAAAATTTAAATGCAATATCAATCATTTGTCTCTTTTACTGTGCTCTCTCTCTCTCTCTCCTCAATAACACTTTCCCAATTTCTTTTACTCTCAGTAACCCTTTGTGTCTTAGTGGCTTTATCACCTTACTTGGGGTGAAATGACTAAAAATAATACTTATTAAAGTCTATTTGACTAATCTTACTGGTAAGCTTTATACTATTAGTTACAATTTTCAATATGAAGGAATTTACCGGACACTGTTACACACCAACTATATTTATACTAGTAGCAACATTAGTAGGAAGCTGTAATAGTAAACATTTATATAACATCCTCCCTACCTACTGGAATTCAAAATAAAATTTATTTTAAATCTTGTATCAGTTTAAAAAAAAAAAAAAAAAAAAAAAAAAAAGAAAGACCTTTACAATTGCTTTTAAACATTTACAAAAAGTGAAAAGTAAAACAAAACAGAACACAGAACAATGTAACATCATTGCACCAGGCAGAACCAGTTCTTGGATAGTCAGTCTGAATGTTAAATTCTCAGGCACTTCTGTTGACTCACTCATAGACAGCACCTGAGGCTTTTGTACCAATTCTGGCTATTTGTAATCACTTCATTCTCAGCTTTTCTTTTCTGATTAATTTCAACTGCCATGTTCTCATCTACCAGCTCAGTGATAAGTCAAGAGGTTTCAGTAAGTATAGGCTTGGTAGCAGAGTGCATAGAGGGGCTGAATTTCTTGGTGATACAGTCGTCTTTCATCCATCATCAAGACTAATATGAGCATATTCTGGGTTAGTTTCAAGTAGTTCAACCTCAGTGACAAAGTTCAAACTTATTCTGGCATATATGACATTATTAAAATCATACCAGGTTCAGACAACCACCAAGGAAGCAACAGCCATTATGGTGGATGGGAGGAGAAGATTTTCAGGTAGTAAAATATTTTGTGATGTAATCTCTCATTATGAAGTGAAGAGCTTTTAAATTTCAGGCCCAGAAGGCTAGTAATATTGTCTTCTACATTATGCCTTTGTACATTTCAACTTAACCATTCCCTTGCAGATTATAGGCATTCAAATAACTATTTGCTAAGTCATGTTTGCATAGAAATGTATTCACTTATGATACAACTAGGCAAAGTAACAAAAAAAATATCTGCAAAAAAATCATTGTGTCAAAAGGACATTTTTTTTTCTGCAAACTTATATACTCCCCAGTAATTTTTATTGTTTAAAAAGCTAGTTTTAGAATTCTAATAAATCCCAAACTTATGAAACAGGATTTATAAAATATTTCTTGAAAAAACTGATAATAAAAATGTGAAACAATATTAGATTATTCACAAGAATAATTTCATATTTACAAGGTTATAAAAATATATGAACCAACTACAATGTAAGATTTATTTTTTACCATATTATAAAGAAATAATGATGAAAATTTTTTTATTAAAAAAATGAAAAAAAAAATGTCTGAATTATGGAATAAGAAACTCTGAATAAACAGTGATGAGTAACTAATTATAAATTTTGAAAAATACATTTTACTGACACTTGATTTCTTACAATTGCTATCATTAAATTCACAAGTTTAATTTATTCATTTTCTTTCTCAAGAATTGACATATGTGAAATTAGTAGAATATCAAATTATTTTTGTAATTAAACAAATATTCTAACTGAATAAATGACTGAATTAAAGTTTAATAAATGTAACAACAAGAGGGAGTATACAGTTAATATTGATGTAAAGAGAAAAAAAAACAATTTGGATAGTTTTTTTTTGCAGATACATTTGTTAAAGTTTACCAATTAAAATCTTTGATCTGAGTGAATATATGCAGACACTCCAAAAATGCAAAACAATCAACATACATTATCAATTACTGCATGAGGTGTCATATTGAAAACCTGTTAAATTATAGTTTGTATTCATTGCTTCTTTATGTCAGCAACAGGTTCTTAAAAAAAAAAAATCAATATTCAGATTTTCAAAAGGTTATTTTGCTTTAACAACATAGTTGATTTTGGATGAAAAAATAAAATAAATAAAATCATGGCATTATCTCAATATATACAGGGCAAGTTTTTATTTTGATCTTATCTAGGAAGGGCAAATTTTTTACTTTACAAGTAATGAACCATTCACCATATGAATCATGTTATTCTGTCACCCCCACTCCTTATGGTTTATAAAGATATTAAAAACTGTCATAGCAGAACAGTTTTGTTTGTTAAAATACACAATAAAAATGACATCCTAGCTTAAATCTTTGCAATCTTCATATTTCCTGTTTGTCAAACCCACTCTAAACTGCCACCTTTTGTCACATTTGGTAATGACTTGGACACGCTGAAAAATACCTGTTCACCACACAAGAATGGAACTGATTTTTGGTCAGTAATCAACTAGTAAGAGGCAATGTTTCCACTTACACAAGGTTTCAACAAATTGCAGTAACAAAAAGTTGGAAATCCAAAATTTCAGGATTGCAGGTCCAGAACCAACACAGAATGTTTTTAGTTTACTCACAGAGCTGGCCTATTTCCAAAATGGTATATGTTGGGCTATGGCCTCAAGGAATAAAGTTGAAGAGTGTGACACAGTGATACACTGACATTCACATGCATTATATAGATTAACATGCTTGGTCAAGAGGTAAATAAAAAGATTATATATATATATATATATATATATATATATATATATATATATATATAGAGAGAGAGAGAGAGAGAAACAAAAGGAGCACAAAGACTGCAACACAGGAATTGGTGGGTGTGTCATCTTAGATAAAAACAGTTGTTTGTAATAAGATGTTAAATCATGTTTTGTGACAATCTATTGAGTACATGTCAGTGTTTTTATAAGATACTATATTACATTTTTTTATAACTATCTGTAACTATTTATATATTATAAAATACAGAGTGCAGCATTAAAAAGTTTATTAGTAAATATGTGGCATTTACATGGGTCCTACTAGTTATAAATAATTTTTTGTTCATAAATTGCTTTCATTTAATGTATGAGAAACTGTTTGCTACTTGGTTGAAAATAATGGAAACCTGTTAGAAATGAAATTGATCTGTTTGAAAATAGAAAAATAACAGTTACTTCACTACTGAATTTAGAATAAATTATAGATTAATTTCCTGAAACTAAGATTACTCAAGGATTCTAGGTTTTAGTATTTTTTTTATTATACTAAGTATACTAAGATTTTTTTTTTGTATCTGATGAGGGGGTAGTAGATGTAAGAGTTTGTTATACATTTATTACTGTCATCTTAGTAAGTGTTCAAATCCCTGGTTCAGGTAATCAAACACAGGTCCCGCAGGAACAAACAATAACTTATCCAATATTTATTACCGAAATATACAGTAATTGTGGCACAAGGTCAAAGAGGAAATGCTGGTCTCTGCTAACTATCCTAATCAATCACAATTACGACCCATCCATTCAATACAATTTATCCATTTACCACAAGAACACATCTCTCACCACACAAAACCTCATATACCACAATACCACACATTCGCAGGGGACCTACAAAACACCCCGTAGTATAAAAATCTTGTGAAAGTCTATAATAAAATACATAAAAATTTCATCAATCATGAAATGAGTGTGGTGGTGGTTGGGGGTGGGGTCCAGAAAACTAACTAAAGATTGTAACAAAACAAACTAAAACAAATGTTAGTCGGACCCATGAACAAATAACACAATAATCAACAGATCTCATATCAGCCAAACAGTGGAAAGTCATCAAGTAATGTAGCTTGTGGTATTTGGTTGACTTTGTGATTTTGTAGTGCCAGTCCACAAGGTTCAAAGAAGGATGGACATTGTCAAGACTTGGTCTAAACTTGCTCAAAGACATTTTTAAGCTTTGATCTTAGAAAGCAGTTGCATACAATAATAGTTTAAATATTTCTGGACAGGTTTGGCACCATGCATGACATCCTGATTAAAGTCTCAATCTGATGAAACTGTTTTGATTTATAATATTTAATGATTAACAGTGATCCTAAAAGTAAGTTTGTTCTTATAAAATAATTTATTTTCATTTTTTTAATGCCATGTCCTTTCTTGACGTTTATTTTTTTTTAAAGGGTTTCACCCCAAGCAAGGTGGGAAGCCAATAGCACGCAAGGGGTTACAAAGAGTTGGAGTGAGAGCAAAGAGGAGTGATAGAGGAAAGAATGAAGAGAAGGATAAGGGATAGATCAAAGAATCTGGAGATGTCAATTGACATTACATTTGAATAGTTGGAAATTATAGCTATCAGGGAAACAGGAAAAGGGGAGAGAGTTCCACAGGTGAGAAGTGCAAGACATGAAGCTATTGGGGAAGAAGAGATGGTTACATTTAACAGTTTCGACAGTGAAAGGGTAAGAGTGAGATGTCAGCCTAGTTGAATGCTTAAATTCATGAAGTCTGGAAACCAGTGAAAGCAGTTCATCGGAACA